AGCGGAGGTTGCGGTGAGCCGAGATCGCGCCATTGCACTCCAGCCTGGGTAACATGAGTGAAACTCCGTCTCAAAAAAAAAAAAAAAAAAAAAAAGAGCCGAGGGAAGCTGAAATAACATAACCACAAGGAGGCCACTGTTTACCGCCTGTTGCCTACCTTTCTTTTGGAGATCAGGCAGTGGCCATAGGATGATTGGGCCAAAAGAGAAAAATAACTATGTCTTCAGTTCTGTCCACACTCTTGACCTCCAATGTTTAGATATGGAGAAAATAGAATAAGGCAAACTTACTTTGCTATTTGGCCTTGGCCCTAATTGTCAGGCTGTGGCTATCTGTTTTCTCCTGCCGTGTGAAACTGTGTGAGTATAAACACCAATCACGTGCATACATGTCTACCTGTATTTCTGCATTACTCAACATTCTCTTTCAAGACATCCATTTTTTTTTAATCTGAACTCTTGAAATTTGCTCATGAAAAAAGAAATGCAAAAGAGGTTTTGTTCTCATGGCTGCCCACTGCAGCCTGAAACTAAAATCAGCCCAGTGCTCCCTTCTGCTGGGAGAAGTATTCTTTGCTGTTTTGGACATCAGGCTTCAAGGTATCACTGCCAGGTTTCCAGCCAGCTGGGCACAGTTCTCCATGTTTGTCAGTGAACTGGAAGGCCTGAACTGGTCTCAAAGTCTCATCCACAGAGCGGCCAACAAGGAGGTTATTTCCAGTTATCTTCAGGAGAATAATCTTATCATCAAAGATAAACAGGCCCCTAAATGAGATGACTTCATCAGCTTTTAAGACCCCATCATCCTGAACAATGGTACGCTTCGGGTCTGATATCACAGCAGTGTTCCTAGGTCTCAGTCTTCCTTGTTTCTTTTTCTTTTCTTTTTTTTTTTTTTAAGACGGGGTTTCACCATATTGGTCAGACTAGTCTCAAACTCCCGACCTCAGGTGACTCACCCGCCTCGGCTTTCCAAAGTGCTGGAATTACAGGTGTGAGCCACTGTGCCTGATGATCAGTCCTCTTTGTTTCTTAGGTGTCTTGATCCATGCCAGGTGACAGAGTGAGAATCTACAGAAGCACCAATCACTTGGCAGTTGAGTTTCTTAAATTCTTCTGCCCTATCACTGAAAGCAATGATTTCCATGGGGCAAACAAAGGTGAAATCAAAGGGTAAAAGAAGAACACAACATATTTTCCTTTGTAGTCAGACAGGCTGATATCTTTTTTAAAAATTGTTTGTTTATTTATTTATTTATTTTTAAGAGATAAAAATAGCCTGTTGCCCACCCTGCAGTGCAGTGGCTATTCACAAGCGATATCTCACTACTAATCAGCACTGGAGTTTTGACCTGCTTCGTTTCCGACATGGGCCGGTTCACCCCACCATAGGCAACCTGGTGGTCCCCTGCTCCCAGGAGGTCACCATATTGATGCTGAAATTAGTGAGGACACCCGATCAGCATAGCACACTACAGCCCAGAACTCCTAGGTTTAAGCAATCCTCCCACCTCAGCCTTCCGAGTAGCCGGGACTACTGGCACGCACCACCACACCCAGCAGGTTGATACCTTTAAACTGACCATCTGGCATAACGACTGTGGCTTTGAAGTTGGAGGCAGCATGCCCAATTTTAGCATTTTCTGATATTTTTCTATGAGCAGTCCTGACACATCCCTCTGAGAACAAACCACTGACGGTAGGCAGGAAGAGGACACCAACATCCAACTTTAAATCAGGGGAAGAAGTCAGTACCCAGAGGGTGGTCACTGTTAGAAGGCAACAAAATCATCACCTGTCACTGAATCCTGGCATCCTATCTGCACTGGGTGCATGTATTAGTTAGCTATTGCAGCATAACAAACCATCCAAAACTTATTTATGAATGGGATGCTCAGCCATTTAGGTTGGGCTAAGTGGGGCTATTCTTCTGGTCTCC